GTTGCATGTTTTCTTTTGCTGTGTGATTTCTAAATGTCTGTTTTACTTGGTGCTGTTGAGTGTTTCTGTTCCTGCATGAATACTCACTCATTGTACTCCATTACTGCTGTGTTGTGATTTCTTTCTAATGTTGCATGTTTATTTCACTGTGATTTCTCTGTATTGTTCCTGTCACAGAACCTGTTTGATTCCTCTGTGTATTATTATGTATCTCAGTCTCTGTTGCTGTGTGAAATCTCTGTGTATTGTATATCTTAGTCTCTACTGCCGTGTGAGTAGGCTGGATTTCATTCTTCATGGGGCAGGTTGTGTGCAATCATTGTAAGTCTCAAGGGAACCCCATTATATGTATATATATATACACACATTGAGTTCAGCAATTTCTGTAAATTGTGGGGAATACATGGGAAAATTTAGAATTTTATTCAGAATGTGCATTCCAGCTCCAAGATCCATGTAAGAATTAATGGGAAATTCACTCGCTGAGCCTGCCGCTCTTGAAAGGGGAGTACAGCAAGGCTGTCGACTATTCACCTTCATTGAATGTATTGATCAATAATGTACTGGATAGCATCGAGGAGGATGCACGGTATGTCTGTTTCAGTCACATCTGACAGAATTGCAATAGTACTTCTATTCACAGATGATGTTGTGCTTTTGGTGAACGCACCTGGGGATTCTGTGCACTACATTTACCATCTTGAACAACTGAAGACTCTATGGCACATGATGGTGGATGCCCCAAAGTACGGTATTAGGGCTCTGCATGGCTCGAGAGGGGATCTTCAGCCACTATGCCCCTAAACTCTGGAACTCCCTGCCTCAATCCCTCTACCTCACTTTCTCTGTAAATCCCAATTTAAGGTCTACCTCTTCATCTATGCCTATTCTGTTGTGGTGTGAGGTTTGTGTGAAGTCTGTGTGTGTGTTGCTCTATGACGTCTGTATGTGTGTATTGCTGCATGAGGTGATTGTTGCTGCGTGAGGTCTGTATGTTTGTGTGTGTTGCTGTGTCAGGTCCCTGTATGTGTATGTAAAGTCTCTCTGTATGTGTGTGTGTGTGTTGCTGTGTCTGTATGTGTTTGTTGCTGTGTGAGGTACATGTTGCTCTGTGAGGCCTGTGTGTGTGTGTTGCTGTACCAGATCTGTTTGTGTGTGTGTGTGTATATGTATGTGTGAGGTCTGTGTGTGAGGTCTGCCTATTTTGTTATGTGAGGTCTGTGTTTGTGTTGTTATGGTTGATCTGTGTGTTGTTGTGTGCCTTGTTGTGTGAGGTCTGTGTGTGTGTATATGTGAGTTATGTGTGAGGTATGTGTGTATGTGTTATTATGTGAGGTCTGTGTGTTGTTGAGGTGTGTGTATGTATGTGTTGTTGTGTGAGGTCGGTGTGCTGTTGTGTGAGGTGTGTGTGTATGAGGAGTGTGTATATGTGAGGTGTATGAGGATGAGGAGTGTGTGTGTGTATGAGGTGTGTGTGGAGAAATATGAGGTGTGTGTATGAGGTGTGTGTGAGGTGTGTATGTGTGTGTGTATGAGGTGTGAGGTGTATGTGTGAGGTGTGTGTGTGAGGTGTATGAGGTGTGTATGTATGAATTGTGTGGTGTGTGTGAGGTGTGTATGTATGAGTTGTGTGGTGTGTGTGAGGTGTGTATGCATGAGGTGTATGAGGTGTGTGTGTGTGTGTATGAGGTGTATGTGTGAGGTGTATGAGGTGTGTGTATGAGGTGTATGAGGTGTGTGTGTGAGGTTGTATGAGGTGTATGAGGTGTGTGTGTGAGGTTGTATGAGGTGTGTGAGGTGTGTGTGTGTATGAGGTGTGTGTGAGGTGTATGAGGTGTGTGTGTGAGGTGTGTATGAGGTGTATGAGGTGTGTGTGTATGTGTGTGGTGTATGTGTAAGGTTTGTATGTGTGTGTGGTGTGTGTGTGAGGTGTGTGTATGTGGTGTGTGTATGAGTGTGTGTGAGGTATGTGGTGTGTGTGAGGTGTATGAGGTGTGAGGTGTATGAGGTGTGTGTATGTGTGTGTGTATGAGGTGTGTGAGGTATGTATGATGTGTGTGTGTGTATGTGTGTGGTGTATGTGTATGAGGTTTGTATGTGTGTGTGGTGTGTGTGTGAGAGGTTTGTATGTGTGTGTGAGGTGTGTGTATGTGGTGTGTGTATGAGTGTGTGTGAGGTATGTGGTGTGTGTGAGGTGTGTGTATGAGGTGTGTGTGGTGTGTGTATGAGGTGTGAGTGTATGAGGTGTGTGAGGTGTATGAGGTGTGTGTGAGGTGTATGAGGTGTGTGTGAGGTGTATGTGGTGTGTGTATGAGGTGTGAGGTGTATGAGGTGTGTGTGAGGTGTAGGTGGTGTGTGTGTGAGGTGTATGAGGTGTGTGTATGAGGTGTGAGGTGTATGTGGTGTGTGAGGTGTATGAGGTGTGTGTATGAGGTGTGAGGTGTATGTGGTGTGTGAGGTGTAAGAGGTGTGTGTATGTGGTGTGTGAGGTGTATGAGGTGTGTGTGAGGTGTATGTGGTGTGTGTATGAGGTGTATGAGGTTTGTGTATGAGGTGTGAGGTGTATGTGGTGTGTGAGGTGTATGAGGTGTGTGTGAGGTGTATGTGGTGTGTGTATGAGGTGTGAGGTGTATGAGGTGTGAGGTGTATGAGGTCTGAGGTGTATGAGGTGTGTGTATGAGGTGTGAGGTTTATGTGGTGTGTGTGAGGTGTATGAGGTGTGTGTGAGGTGTATGTGGTGTGTGTATGAGGTATGAGGTGTGTGTATGAGGTGTGAGGTGTATGTGGTGTGTGAGGTGTATGAGGTGTGTGTATGAGGTGTGAGGTGTATGTGGTGTGTGAGGTGTATGAGGTGTGTGTGAGGTGTATGTGGTGTGTGTATGAGGTGTGAGGTGTATGAGGTATGTGTGTATGAGGTGTGAGGTGCATGTGGTGTGTGAGGTGTATGAGGTGTGTGTGAGGTGTATGTGGTGTGTGAGGTGTATGAGGTGTGTGTATGAGGTGTGAGGTGTGTGTGAGGTGTATGAAGTGTGAGGTGTATGAGGTATGTGTATGAGGTGTGTGAGGGTGTGATGTTGGTGTGTGAGGTGTATGATGGGTGTGTGTATGAGGTGTGTGAGGTGTATGTGGTGTGGGTGTGAGGTGTATGAGGTGTGGTGTGTGAGGTGTATGTGGGTGTGATGTATGGGGTAGGTGTATGAGGGTGTGTTGAGGTGTGTGTATGTGGTGTGTGTATGAGGTGTGAGGTGTATGAGGTGTGAGGTGTATGTGGTGTGTGAGGTGTATGAGGTGTGTGTGTGAG